TTGACTCTGGGTGCCATTATGCTAGAAGCATTGGAAGCTGTCTCAAGAAAATTAAGCCACTAGAGTGTGTAGCCAAGGAGGGCTTTTAAAAACAGATGCTACACTTTTTATTTCTCTCTTTCAAAACTCCTGTTTGATTCAGTAGTGTCTGACTCTTACAAATTACTCTATGTGTAAATATGTGCCTGTTTGTGTCTGTTTCTGCTTTTGCTAGTTGTACTATTGTCTAATCTTGCTGTGAATTGATTTGATTACAACAATTGGATAGAAGTCAAATAAATACCTAACAAATAAATAAAAGTATGGATGGCAGGTCATGGTCTCAAACAGGAATCTTTTCTAGAGCTACCTGGAGATGCTAAAGACTAAACGTAATACTTTCAGCTTGCAAAGTTTTTTGCTTATGCAATTGAATTATGGATCCTTTGTCTTCTCTAGTGATTGCCATAAACCACCTTGGAAGATAGCTTTATCTTGAAAAGAACTAAACAAGTTATTTCTATTTTTCCAAAGAGCTTCTGACCCACCCTTCAACTGGGGTGTCATTGGAGCTTCATGTGTTTTCCCATCTCTGCTCTGGACAATCGTCATTCTTGGTGGAGGCAGCTAAAACACATCACTGTTGTACCAATGACATGTGATTTGTGTGAAATGGGAAAATATGATGGGAAGATGCTATTTTTCTAAGAAAGCCCCATATTCCCCATTTCAATATAATGTATCATTCAGTTATTCCCCTAATTCCTCGATGCTTTATCTTGACATTTTTCCCTGAATATTTTTTCAGCCACAGTATTTAGTAAATACCCATGTGAATTTAGCTGGTGAAATCAGCAAGAAGTTTATATTCTGGTTTGCAGCATTTAAATCAAATGCATCTGATGAATGTGAACTCTAATATGAATGCTTTATTTGGCCAAATATCCTAATTTGAAACAAACATATATGAAAGACTGAAGCTACATTTAAGCCATGCCAGACACAAGTGAACATTCACTGTGATTACAGAGTTTCTTGTCGAACTCTCAATTTCCTATGCATAGATGAGATTAATTTGGCCACTACAATGAATGAATATGTATTTGGCCATTAACTAAAAGATGTATGAATCTATAAATAAGAAATGGCTCTTATTTAATGGATACCTGGACATACCAATATGATTTTATTCTTTTATCCATGAGACAGAAAGCTGTGTTACAGAACTCATAAATCAGATAAAATGTTTTGGCTCTGAAGAAGTAGGTTATCATCCACCATTGATTAGTAACTGTCACTGATTATCAATCAATATCCGCCAGTTTTTCACACTTTGTATACCTCATCTGGGAAAGATCTATTGTATCTTGCTTTCTCATAAAAAAATACTTTGCAGCTGTATAGGTTTTGAAAACTGAGGATATTTTTAATGTACATGTGTTTGGCATTACTGTGTTCAAATCAGAGATTCTTTAGGCTAATAAAAAAAAGTAGAGGAGAGAAGGAAATACATACAGTGGGGAGAATAAACAGAACCCTTCTGAAGTCACCAATTGGGAATGATCCAGGCTGAATCAAGACTTTCTATAGTGTGCATTGAAAAACAGTATGAAAAATGTTTTCCTATATTTTCTCAGACCCAATTTATCACTTCATTGCCTCTGAATCCTTACACTGGTGATTGCAATAAAATGCCAAAACAGGGTTATCTGTCCTTTGATAAGAGGTTTATCTCAACCAATGCACATAAAATATTGGTCTCCTCTTACGGCTCTCTTTTCAGGTAGTTTTCCTCTTTTTTCCTTTTCGACATCCTTGAACTAACACCCAGATCAACCCAGAAACTGGTTTCTTCACTGGGCATCATCATAATTTTTTTCCCGTTGAAAATAATGGCGCTTCCAATTAATCTACATCCTTGTTGTATTAAGTGCTTTTCTTAAGAGCATATTGGACAAAGAATCATAACAGCCAGCAATAGTTTCATCATCCTCGGGAAAGACTGTTTGCTGGGCTGAATAATTACACAGCAATAGACTGTTTTTCATCAATATGAAGACAACTGGTAACCAACGATGCACCAAGCAAGCATCAACAGAAGGAAGGCCCATTACAGTACCTGTCTTTTATTTTCTCTTGCTTTTTTAAAAAAAATCTGTTTGCTCTTTTTGAACTTGGTAAGTATAATGCAAATTGCTCTGTGGTGGGTATTCTGCTGTTTGGCATGCATGTCATATGGTTTTCTTTCCTCTTTAGTTCCTCAGCCAATTCCTGGATCCATCTGCAATTTGGCCAAGTAAGTGAGACTTCTTAATACATGAGGATGCAAACAGTTTTACAGTGATGGCTTTAAGGTCCTCATAGTTTTGTATTTATGTTTTTTTTTTTTTAAGGTGAAAACAGACAATTGACATAGGATCAGTTTCCCCGGATGAAGAGTTCAGCGTTCTGGTTGATACTGGCAAATCTATTCAGCCTGGGAGATGGATACTTTGTACAGATTAGAATGTAAGCTCTTCACGGATTTTGCTGTTGTTGAAATAAAAACAACACATTTTTCCCGGTGTGCTGTGTTGTTGTCATCATCATTGTTTGCACTGCTTTGTAAACCACCATCTACTTTGATGGTCCTCCTAATGCAATAGCGCAGTGGTTCCCAATCTTGGGTAGCCCAAGTGTTCTTGAACTGCAGTTCTTAGAAGCCTTCACCACCAGCTCTGCTGGCAGGGGTTTCTGGGAGTTGCAGTCCAAGAACATCTAGGTCATCCTAGGTTGGGAATCACTGCAACCATGTTTTTTGAACTAGTGCCCATATAGCTATGCTGCTTCAGGAATTGTGGGTTGATATCCAAAAAACACAAACCTACACACCTCTCATTGTAAGTGTTCATGTGTTCAGTAAGAATTAAGGAGCTGCCTTTCATCCATTCAGATGTGGTTCAGTGTGGACCAGTTCAACCCTCATTTAGATATCTAACTTGATGTTGTCTACTCTGGCTGGCAGTAACGTTTTGTAAGAACTTTCCTGTTTCAGACCAAAAGCCTATTTCATCCAGAGAAGCCGCATCCTGTTGATGTCTAGGACTGGACATGGCAGCTCCCATATGCAAAATGGTGCTGTAGCACTGAGTTATGCTCATTTACTCTCCTCTGGAACTTATTCCCTAACTTTAATAATTACTAATTTTAGCTGTGTCAGGGACATAGGTTAGCGTCAAGAGCCAACTAGTTTTCTCTTTGTCTTTTAAGGCTACTCTTGAGCAAATTTTTCCTTGACAAAGCACTGAAAGTAAGATTGTGTGACCTCGTGGAGTTTGAAATGTCACCAGGCAGTAAACTGGACGCAAGGAAAGCAAGTACCAGCATATTAAATAAATTATGTGATTTCTCTATCGTATTTGGATCTTAGTCCAAACAGATAAGAAACTGAGCTAGGCAAGAGAAAGAACTGTGGAGCTTAACTTTTTGAGATATTATATCATTACCTTTTAAATGAAAAAAAAAGTCTCAAGCCTTATTTATGGTCTTAATCTTATATTTGTATCATGGGAAATGTTAATATTTGGGGTTTTATATGATGGAAGCAGACTTTCCTGGGGCACTCTTTTAAAACAATGTTTTCCCAGTGTTTGTAAAATATGCATTAGGCTGAGTTAAAATCAAATCGTTGAGTTATTTCAGCAGCAAGTTATAAACCTGACTGGACCATGTTGCACTCCTGCTTATCCCCCTGGAAGCACAATGGTGTCTAGGCCGAGCCATCTCACCCATTCTCTCTTCTCCAAACCATTGCTAACTACAGAAGCTGATGTAGCTTGTCTGAAAATGAGGGAGGTGGTTATCTCCATTTCTTTTCCTTCCCACATCCCTAGCAGTAGGGATATTATTACCAGATGCCAGAAACTCTGGGACATGTAGTTTTGCCATCTGTCCTTAGGGAATGGTTTTGCTGCAACAATGATCTAAATATCATATCTGAATCAGAACACTCTGCCTCTTCAGCAACAGATAGACAGCATGGTGAACTGGTGAACGGCAGGGAAGAATTAGTCTCTCCACTTTAGATATAAGAACCAGAGATGAAGCCAGAGCGTAAGGAGTTATCATAATGCTCATTTCATTTAGAAGACCAGCTTTACAAGGACTGAGGCTGATATTTTGAACCAAGAAATTAAAAAGTGTGGTGATACCAACGTTTAACTTTCTGTTGCGTATTAGAGCATAGCCAGGGATTGTATCTATTAATACACCTTTGGCAAATGCAAATAAAATGCTGTTATGATTTCAAGTGCACTTTGAGTGATTCTTTGAAATCACAAACCTATGCACAGCCGTCACTGTTAGATGCCCTCAGGTTACTTCTAACTTATGCAAACCACAACAGGGTTTTCAGAGTTTGTGAGATGTTCAAGAAGTGGTTTCAAATCAAATCAAATCAAATCCATTGATTGTCATTGTAAGTATATACATAGTATATCCATGCAACAAATTTCACACAGACACCCAGAGACCAGACCCACATGCACACACGTAAAAAAATACCCAAACACTCTCCACCCACTAAAAATCCCTTGGCAGGCAGTTTCAATGACCAAAGAGGGATTGGAGCCTAGGTCTCCTGAGTGAGGAGACCTAGTCGGACATCAATCTGGGTATAAATCCCATTCAAAGCTTTAGGTTTGACTTAAAAGTATACTTGCACAGATGCTTACTCCTATAGAAAGAATATCACTAGAATGTGATTATCATTCAAAAATGGGACGGTTTTATAAAGTGCAGCTGCTGCATATTTGTACATCATTTGTATATATGATACGTGCATATTTATAATTATCTAGGTAGTAGAGCAGATGATATTAGAGTGGTCTGCTTTGCATAGAAGACCTCCATATATTCTATCATGTTGTATTTATTGAAAAATGCAAATTTTATATTCACGCACATAAGTAAATTTGCAGTTAGTTAGTTACAAGCAAAAGGCAGTGACTAAAACAAAAAAGAAAGAAAAAAGCTGGACTCACCTGTAATTCTGCTTCTCATTTCCTATGTAAAATCTATCGTATTGTGAATAAGCCCGACTTCCTTCCCAGTCCATTAGTTCAATCCTTAGAGAATAGTGCCTTTGACTCGTGGTGATTGCAAAGATAAACTCATTTCCCAGCCAATGTTCACCGGAGGGACTACCGAAACCCTAGAAGAAAATGGGTGAAACTCAATGTCATGATCTTTCCTTGGTTTCTGTAACATTTTTCACTATGGAAACTTTCACAGTATACCATGACAACTATTTTTTAGAGGAAAATGGACTCTCAGGATTCTTATGAGATCCTGTGACTAATACCCATAACATTCTTGATTTATTTAGAATGCAAGATCCTGTTCTCATTGAGATGTTCTATTTTTGCTTTCTGGTTACACAATGGAGTTTGGATTTTTAAACTGTGAGGTATTATGATAGCCATCTTCAAATATTTAAAGGGCCATTACTGGAAAGATAGAACAAGCTTGTTTCATGCAGCTGCAGCGGCCCGGACCTGAAGTAATGGATTCACATTATAGGAAAAGAGATCTTAACTAAATATTGGGCAGAACTTCCTGCCAGAAGAGCTCTGTGACAGTGGAATGGACTATCTCAGAAAGAGGTGGAGTCTTTATCAATGATTTTGAAAGAGAGTTTGGATGGCTGTTGGTCAGGCATATTTTAGCTTTGGATTTCCTGAGTTAGCAGAGGTTGGACTGAGTGATCCTTGTGGTCCCTTCCAGCTGAAGTAATCCATGATTCTATGACTGTGTGAAATTGTTAGGAAGATTTTCTCACTGGCCTACTATCTGAGACATGGGGCTCCCACAACTGGCAAATGATCTTGTCTTCCTCACAGGCCTGCTCTCAGAAACTTTCATCTGTGCAACCACTCCATTAGATCTTGACCATGTCCTATTCACAATAATTACAACATCTGTGGTTGGACTCAAGATTACGTGAGTCAGGATGTGTCACTCCTGGGTTGGCAGTATCTAGGATTCTGCTGATCCTGAGGTATAATAAACAACCAGGCAAACAATGCTGGCACTACTTGGGATTTAATCTTGTTGTGTAACATAGTCATGGTGTAACCTGGATCAGGCACCATAAGCATATAATTTAAAGTAATTAAAAGCCTCTTATCCCCTTCCTTTTAAGTTCTTGGAATTCCTAGAGCTTCCTTTGACCCTTAGGAAGTCTTCAGGATATGGGGGTAGGTGGGGGAAAGAGCCTTTAATAGTACCAGAATCACCACTTCATCACTCCTGGGATTGATGGCAATTGTTTATTTTATTTTATTGCCATTGAAGTCTCCCACCTTATTCTGAGGATCCCAAAGGACTCCCCAGGATGAAAGGGACCCCACCCCAAGGGAGCCTTGGAAGCTAGAAGAAGGGGAATAGGATATTTTAAGTGCCTCAAATTAAATGCTTCCTGCACCTGATCTAGATTATGCTGCACAAAGTTATGTCAAAGGATTGTGCCCACTGTCTTTTCCCTAGCTAACTGCCTTTCTGATGTGGTATAAGATAATAATGACATTTACTTGGGATTGTTCAATGATTGGGAATAATATTTTACAAACCCGTAATTCAGGACACGTCAATTTGTGGATTTACAGATGTTTTTGGACTACAAATTCCATCATGCCTCACTGTTGACTGTGCTGGCCAGACCTGGTGACAGTTTCTGTCCAGAAAGATCTGGAGGGTCCCAAGCTACCTATCCTTGTCCCTAATCTCTCCTAAGTTTGATGTAAGGCTGATAATGCTGATTCAATGCTAGAACGTTTGATAGTTCCGCTCAGGTGGTAACAGTGGAGGCAAGTATTAGTGATGAACACCCTGGAAGAGAAGATGTCTCCTGGACATCCTTTTGCTCTCTTATAGATATATTTTACCTGGTTCTCCTTCAAACAAAAGATGCTTTTGGTTGTTCTGGGTTTTTTGGGTTCTTTGACCATGTTCTGAAGGTTGTTCTTCCTGACATTTCGCCGTACTCTGTGGCCGGCATCTTCAGAGGACTGGAGTAGGAACTCTGTCCATGCTCTGTCCAACATGGTAGACTGGTGAAACATCAGGAAGAACAACCTTCAGAACACAGCCAAAGAGCCTGAAAAACCCAGAACAACCATTAGATCCTGGCCGTGAAAGCCTTCGCGAATAAAAAGATGCTTTCTCAGCTCACTAGGCCTTAGAAGCTCTACTAGCTGTACTTTTATTTGCAGTGATATGACTTATGTTAATCTGATACTGTCCATTGATAATACTCCATTCTTGAATGTTATGTTGAACCTCTAAGGTGATGGATAGATAACAAGAACTAGAGACAAAACCAAAATGACATTTCATGTTTTAGCCAGTCAGCCTGAGCCATGTAAGGAGAATTTATCTTCCTCTCCAATTTCACTAAAATTAGCAAAGTCAAAATAACAAAAAAAAGGTCTGAAAGGCTACATGGGTTTTAAAAGCAACATTAAGGATCAAATGTAGTGACACCAAGGAGTTGGGGGATGCTGATGGTGGAAAAAGGTTTTATTAGCTTTGGCAAATTCTATAAGGGTATCCTATTTGAACCACACTCTTTCAGGTCATTAAGCAATTATTTCTCTTTATTTATTTGGTCTGATAAATGTTCATAAGAAACTTTGACTTTTTATGGGGGGGGGTGGAGTCCCACAAAATTGAAACCAGGTACAGTTAGTATATCACATAGGTCCATCTCCTGACAAAGCACACTGGGGAAAACAGCTAATAGATCAGGATTCCTGCCCCCTTTGAAAATCTTATCTTCCAAGAAGCCTAGCTTATGAAACTAGCAGTGAGCTATTTTAATGGACACTTTGCAGTCAACATAGAGCATACAGTGCTGTTCTCCAACAGCTTGCTGCCACTCCTTCGTCTGAAGCATTTGCTGTTTAACAGTAGGACCAGTCTTCAAAGCATAATAGGCATTGGTGGACTGCCACAGAGAATTTCAGTCATGGTTCTGCAACCCAGTGCATTGGCTAGCATCTCAGATTGGGATTTCAGAGAGCAGGATTTTAGTTCTCACTGAGGTGTGAAACACCCTCTAGATCAGTGGTCTCCAACCTTCGGCCTCCAGATGTTCTTGGACTGCAACTTCCAGAAGCCTTCACTACCACCTCTGCTGGCCAGGATTTCTGGGAGTTGAAGTCTAGGAACATCTGGAGGCCCAAGGTTGGAGGCCACTGCTCTAGATGACCCTCTGTCTTTCTCAGCCTTACCTGCCTCATAGGGATGATGTTAGAATAAAGGGTGGGAGACTCATTCATGTTGCCTTGAGCTGACAAGAGGAGAGGGGGCAGGGAAATCTTTGAAATTTATTAAGTGAATGGCTGAGTTTAACTGAAAATGAACACTCACCAATTTTTGGAGCTCTAATTAATAGAATAATCTATGTGGATTTTTATTCTTATTTCCTAAGTCTTTAGATCAACTCATGAATGATAACTGCTGAATGGGTATGTTATTTGGCTTCCCACTAATTCTGGAAGGTGTGCTGGACACTGCAAAAGAAATAATAAAATTCCATTGGAGTTTTACATCTTTTCTTATTGAAAAAGCCAATGCTTCTTATGGTATTGCTCCAATATAATTATAGCAGAGTTCGGCTGCTTACAATTGACCTTGTTCTTCAATGCCATGATTTTTTTCTTTATCTTATTAAGGTTCAACTGCCTTTGCACTTGTATAATCTTTCTCTGTAGTCGTTTGAGTTCACTGCCATAGCACCTTGATTTCAGAAGCTAAGATGGGTTTAGCCATTTAGGACTTTCATGAGAGACCAACAGATAAGATTGGAGATTTCCAGGAATTATCTGCTGGGAAAGACTCCTACCTGGACCCTTGCAGAGTCACTGCTAATTGGATTTGTCAGTACTAGATGGACCAATGGCTTGGGTTAGTGGAAAGCAGTTCCTATAAAGGCTGTGGACAGGTCTGACTCAGAAAGATGCCTATCCAATATGCCTTATAGCTAAGATTTGTTTAGGCCCGGTAGAACAGTTCAACAAACATATCATGCTTGCATGAATTAGATTCAAACAAAGCATGGTGTGGAAATTTTCTATTGGGTTAGGGTCTTCTTGGTGGTGGCACCATGATTTTGTCTAGCCCCCTTCCTGTATTCATGTAGGACAGTTTAAAACATTACTCTTCAGTGAGGCCTTTCATGGCAATTCTGGTTGAACTTCCCACCTCCTGTATCCACTTCAGACTGAAAATTGACTGTGGCATTGGGTTTTCCAGTTCTTACGTAGACTTTGTGTGTGATTAATATGATATTTTGGTGCTTAGCACTTGTTTTGTTGTCATTCTATTTTAAATGCTTGTAAACTGCCCAGAATAGTTCTTTGGCACTGATGGGACAGTATATAAATTAAAGTAATAAATAAATAAATGACAGAAAGAATAACCCAGCACCACGCTTTATTAAACTGTTCATTTTATGGGTAAATGTGAAATTTCCTTGTCCCTTTTGACTGGGGAAGGCCACCACATGAATATTATTTTAAATGCTTTCATGGTATGCACTCAAAAAGTTGACCCCAGTGCAATCAAATGGTTATATAACACCATGTCAACACAATTCCTGGACCACCTGTTAACCAGAAACGTTTATAAAGGAAGGGCAGGGCCAGATAGAATTCCGTGCTGCAAGTATACTGTAGCTAAATCACTTAAAGTATATTAAATGTCTTATTGTGTGTGAATTAATTAAATGGAAGTATCTATGGCAACTTATGGTTTCATTCAAGTGTTCATTTTATTAACACTCTGCTTTTTTTCTCAATCAAGGAACTCGGGAGATTCATGCAATTTCTTTCTGTGTCCCAACTTTTGAATCTCTGACTGTTGGACTCTGCTGTCTTCTGCCTCTGGTCTTGTTCATTAAGACCAAGTAATTTCCCTTTACTACTGTGAGCTACAGACAGTGTGTAATGGTTGAAGTGTTGGGCTGAAATTTAAGTGATCCAGACTCTTATGAATCAAACCAAATGATCTTGGGCCACTCCTTCTCTCTCAATATAACATACCTCATAGGGCTGTTATAGTTATCAAGTGGTAAGAAAGAGGGCCATGTACATTTCCTTCAGGTCTCCGGAATAAATCGGGATATAGATGCTACAATAAAAAAAATTTATGTTGATGTAACTGGGTTTCTGTAGATTTGCGTTTTCTCCTAGTTACAGATGGGTAGGAGAGTGAAGCTGAGAAAAAGCAGCTCATTCTGTACAGGAGTGAGATTTGAACCAGCAATTTTTGAACTCATTGCTCTTTATCTTTAACATCTACATCCACTTGTGCTGAGGGTTACTAATTAAGAGAAGATTTTTTAATGTCGTGCCCAAGTAAAGTATGAGTATGCTGTAGCAAATCTGTACCTAATGTTAATGTCTGAAGTGTCTGGATAGTTAAATATTCAGAGTTGCTCAACTGAGCTATTTACTATCACAGTAATCTCCATGTATTATAAGAAATGTATGTACATTGGATTGGCTTTTGTGTCTCCATATTACAACTATAACCATCCTGACAGATACTAAAAAGGGGGGGTTTAGTGAAATAATCTGGAGTAGCTATATTTAATCTAACAAAGAACTAAAAAACCAAAACAAATTCGAAAGCAAGAGAAGTTAAATTACATGAAATATTTGTTTTGATGAAAAACATATCCCTTAAGCTAAGCCAAAATACTTCTCATTTTGACAAACACATATAAAATTGGGTTTCTCTTAAAATCATTAAAAATGAGCGTAGAATGGAAACTGTGAAGTACACATGGCTAACTTAGAAATACTTTGTACAGGCCTGCTTTTTATTGTCGTCGTCGTCATCATCGTCATCAACAGCTCATTTGAAAAGGAAAACATTTCAGCTTCTCCCTGGTTTAATAAATTGCTTCATGTCACTTGGTCTGTCTTTAGCCTCTTGATGTAACTTTAGAGAATCCTTACCCCCTCTGTACTCTGGCACTCTCTAGGTGGTTATTAGGAGCAGCAGCTTCCATAGCTATCATATGTGTCTTGCACTTAAAGCCACAGTAGAACATTTCAATGGACTGCTAGATGCCTCCACCTACTCAATCCAAGGAGGAGACGGAGGAGGCGCCGCCATCACCCATGCGACGAGGGAGCAGCCCAGGTAGGGGGGGCTTGTCAGCCTGGGAAGGCAGCCCATCTAGGAGAAGGAAAACTCCATTTTCAAACCTCCACTGCCTTGTGGCCATATCCACTGATGGAAAAGGCTTCCGGAATTGACCTAGAGGCAAAATCCAGAGCCAGAGTCCCAGAGGCAGTTCATATCATTCTGGCAACTCCTGCAACATCGCTGGAACCAGTTGTATTGGCTCTTGCCTTTCCATTAGACTATTTCAGTGATGTAGAGAGGGGGGATTTGCTGCTTTGGTAACAGCTACCCTCCATATTATTTTACCCAGGCTTCATGCTCTGGAGAGGACACTCCAGCTTTGCATACAGTGTCAAAGTCCTCCATACAGCGCACATTACCATAGTCTCTCAAGACTGAAAGATGCCTATGATGACTCAATCCAAAGTGCTAGGACTTGATGGTACTTTAGCTAAGATGCCTGAACTACTGATTTAAGTCAAGATAAACTAGATTACTCGAAATACCCTTGGGTCAAACCACACCATTTATATTTCAGATCTGGAAGGGACCACCCATAGTTTGTGGCCCCTGTGCCTTCCACCTTGGGTCCTTTCAAGGAGTAAGGCGGGATAAAAATCTTTTTTGAATAAATAATTGAATCGACAGCAACCCCACTGGCTACCACCCAGTTTTCCTACACACTACGAAAAGTATGGCAGTGGTGAAAAGGATGCAATGTCCTTTGAAAGCAAAGCAAAGATAGGAATCATGCAACCCTGAAAACCACGCTACCAAATCTCAGCAACAAATCGCCCCAATGAAGGTGGTGGCATTTAAAGCTAGCATTTGTTTGCTTTAAATGGCATGCAGCTAGTTAATTGTGAATTTCAGTGGCAGGTTGGAACAATCTATTTAAAACCCATCATGCTACCATCTCCTCAGCATCAGGAGATTTCGTTGCCACCACTAGAGTCCAAGGAGTCCAGTCCAGAAATCATAACGGAATCGGTTTTCCTTAATTCCACAGTATAAAGTGGCTGCTAAGACAAGTGAAACGTCTTCTCTCAGCAGAGGTGGGACTAGGCACTCACATTTAAGAGCAACTGAGTTTAAACCTAAGGTTGCTACTGCCTAAGCAGCATTTGAGCATCTTCATGTAAACCTGCAGCTTGACTTCTATTTGAAGCTATCCAGGGTGGCATCTGACCTTGACTCTTGCAGAGCCTTGTCCCTAAATTTCTGTTTTACTTTATCTTGAACATGAGCTCCTTAGGTTAGTATGAACCTACTTAGGTTAGAATGAAGCATACAGTTGCTCAGTTCTTTGTTCATATTGATATAGACTAACTCAACTTGATAAGAGACCTCAGTGATTCCTTGCCTCCAGCCAAGAAGGAGGCAAGGAGTGCTATTTTTCTCATCAGCATCCTAGAAATTTGTGCAAATTGTCTTTGCACAAAATTAGTGTTCTTTTCCCTTGATAAGCCAAAAAAAAAAAGGCACAGATATTGACACAGACGCCCCAAACAACTGACTCAAGATTTTTAAAAGATGCAAAGACCCCCTAGGTTTTTTCCCCTGAAAATATCATGGGAAAAAAACCCAAACATCATTCTTTTGCACAATTTGCTTGAAATCATTGTTTGCTTTATTTTTGTATTTTTGCTTAATTTTCAGGGGGAAAATCATTCTCTTCTTTAGCTAACAACATCACAAAATTCTTGAGCACCACAGCATTCTTCAAGAAGAAGAACTTGGTGATTCCTTGATATGTAGGACGTCGAGACAAAGAAACCCCCCATCTAGTGATTGGCTCCTAGAACAAATGACCACATGATGGTGCCCAGTCACGCAAACTGAACCTCCATTTGAGTGTATCTCAGGTGCAAGTCTTCACAGATCCAGATCTATCATGTTAGGGCCAGCATAATTTCTACAGATGAAAGAGTGACACAAGTTTTTAAAGGTTTTCATGGTAAATCAGTATGTCAACAGAATAGTTGGGTGGATTTAAGTTTCTCAATCTTTTACACAGTTGATCTACCTCGTTCATTCATTCAGAATGACTATCACTACATCTATGCATAGTGCTCATCTTAAAATAGTAATCCTTTCCATGTTTTTTACCCAGAGACCAAAGGCATCCCACAAAACATAAAGAGCTGCTATTCCAGAGTAAATACAATTTCTGCTTATTCTAAGGGGGGGGGGTTAGAACTCTCCTGGCATTAAGAGTTTGTGGTTTTTATCATTAAGTATGGCACATCCTCTTGAGATTAGCAAGGGAAAGCATGGGGGTTATAACCCCCAAACCACAGAGGGAAATGACAAGAAGTTTTCTAAATGAAGCAACTCCCTGAAGAGTGATCCATTAAAGAAAGAGTCCAAAGATGGCTAGGATAAACTTGAACCATATGACACTTTCTGTTTTTATTACTGAATGGCCATGTTCCAAGCAAAAGCTATGGACACAGTGTTCATTGCTGCTTCAGAAGAACAATGCTAAAATGTTGTCCCCAGTGTTTCTAGGGATACAATTCCTGGAAGTAATTCCCAATCTTACCATTTTGTATTCTTTCCAGTTTTTTTGGAAATCTAGGCTCCCATCTTCTCGGTGCTGTATAACTGTCCAACCACCTCCTGTAGTTTCCATATTGCAAAAGACCTAGGAATAAGAATATAAATTACATTAGAATCTCCATGCTATCTTGGAACCTTGATTCATCTAGTTCATCTCTCTGCTTCTAGCAAAGACCAACCTGATTCCCCAGAAATCCCCGAGTAGACTTTGTCTAGAGGGGCGGGGTATAAGTCCAAATAAAGTAAAGTAAAGTAAAGTAAAGTAAAGTAAAGTAAAGTAAAGTAAAAAAAGATTCTGAATACTGAAAATCAGATGGCAATGCAATTCCTGTATTTTATTACCAGAACTGAGAAAAAAAAAGGTATACTGAACATGGAACAAATTTATTTTACTGTCACAGGTGTTTTAGATTTTTGTTCTTCTTGAAACATATTCTAGCAATGAAGGTCATATCTCAATTAAGTGTAAACTAATTGCTCATAAATGTAATGAACACCAAAGTAATTCTGCTTTTGGATAGAATGAGAACTTTCACTTTTAAAAGTAAAACTGATGTGTTCTCCTTAGTTATTTTTTTTCCCCCAAACTAAAAGGTCCTGCTGCTAAAGATTCATTTCATAATGTTGTCCTGTGCTGTCAGGTTGCTTCTAGTAAACTCTAATAAAGATTTCAAGATACATGAAATAGTCAAGAAATGGTTTATCAAGTCTGTGAGTCCAGGGCTCATGAGTCTAGGTTTGACACTCTCTCTGCTACTCCACATTGGCTCTTTTGCTTCATTAAGTCACTGATAATTTTAGCCAGTTGTTTTGTATCTTCTTTATGACTATCACAAACATTTCTTAAATAAAAACAGAATTAATGGAAAATATGCCATGAATAAGTTTGAGGGAGGCAGCAATGTTTCCTTTGTCTTCACTGGACCTTGTACGGCTAGACAACATTTGATTTCACAGATGCTTCTTAGGGATGCTGGACTAGCTAGGTTTATAGGAAAGTGTGCAGAAAAATCTGGAAGACAAGGAGAAAGGGGTAAGGGGTAAGGGGCGGGTAGGCCCAAGACATTAGCTGCTCAAGGCACTGAAGCAGAAGGGGCCTACTATTCACAAAAGTGGGGATGTACAGTAGGCATGGGATTTAGGGACTAAAAATCCCATTATTCTCCATTCATGGGAGTTCCACCTACAGACAGTTAAATGTGACTCGCCTAGAAAAAAGGCTGAACTGGTAAGGGTTTGTGGCCTAGCATAGGCCTAGCTTTGCTCTAGATTCTTGTTCAGAAATAAATGGGCAGAGCTAGGTCTATGCAAGACCACAAAGCCTCTCCATCTAGGTCATTTCTTCAGGTGAGCCACATTTAGGTGACTGTAGAGGTGGGTCTGTCAGATGGAAGTCCAAGAACGCCCAGAATGGAGAAGTATGGGATCTGTAGTTCAAAACAATTCAAAACTCCCATGCCTAGTGCACAGAGGTAGATAATCCCTAAAAATTGTTTGCTTTCATGACAACCAAAACTAGTTGCCTGTCTCATTATATCCAATGGCAGAGCCAACTGAAGAGGAGAGACAGAACATGCTGGTTTTTTCCATTTGTTTTTTTTTTCCTAAAAGACTCTACTTTGGCAATTGAAACAAAATTGCCAGAAAATTTACTGCCAGACAAATAATTCTCTCTCACTTTCCTAGTTGGAGCAAAGGTGGATGGCCCTTCTTTGACATCCGTTCTGATACATCTTTGCAGAAATGCTAAATGTTTTAAAGGAAGGGAGGCTTTCTGGTAATGACTGTGAGCAGCATAAAATAGCTACAGATATTATTGTCAGTGCAATGAAGGCATTAGGAGAGAACACGGCAGTCCGACGTACAGTGGCTACTGCGGCTGTGTGTTGCTTGGAGTGCCACAGGAGGTTCATGTTGTCATTGAACCCTATTAATGAGTGACCTCCAAGATGCCCTTTCATCAACAGCCCAACTCAGCTCTTGCAAACTGAAGGCCATGGCATCCTATATAAGCTCAATCTATTTCATATTCAGGCTTTCTCTTTTTTCCTGCTGTCTTCAATTATTTGTAGCATTATTGGTTTTTCCAGTGAGACTTGTCTTCCCACGACATGCCCAAAGTATGATAGTCTCAGTGTCATCATTTTTTCTTCTAGAGAGAGCTTGATTTGATCTAGGATTCACTTGTTTGTCTTTTTGGCAGTCTAGGGTATCGGCAAAGTTCTTCTCTGGCACCATGTTTCAAACAAATACATCTTTTTTTGCTATTGCCTTTCCTCCAGCCTTCACCACCATACATAGTAATTGGGAATATAATAGTGTAGATGATCTTGTCCTTGGTGACACACCTTTACATTTCATGATCTTTACTTACGAGTCTGTCTTCTGGTTTCTGGGCTGCAATCTCTATTTGGATTGATATAGAACTGAGGTACAGTAGGATCCCCATATCCACTGGGGTTTGGTTCAATGGATCCTTGTGGATACTGAAAACCGTGGATAACAGCAGACACTATTTATTTTCACATGCATTACCAGAACTGGCCACTAGATGACACCAGGGATCATAGTATGCATTCTTCATTAACAGGTATTCATAACACAGTCTCTGGCTCCATCTGGTGGCCTGTTACATGTGAAAAAAAGTTTTGGATCTTTTTCTTTTAATATTTTTAATATTTTCAGACCATGGATAAGTGAAATCATACATACTGATCCTGTAGACATGAGGGTCCTACTGTATATGAAACCTTTAGCAATTTCAGTTCCTTCTTTGTCAACAAAGTTCTGTAGTTTCTGCTAAACATATGTTAAAAGGAGGACATTTCCCAAAAGAACATTTCTGACATCTTCACATACACTTTTTAAAAAAACTCACAAACCTTACACACACAAATTTCCATAGCCTACTCACTGTTCATATGTGCATGCAGGATCCAAACCATTGTGTACTTTTCACTGAATGTATTTTATACCATATTCTAATTCTCTTACAAAAGTGATGTGGTTCTATACATAATTAAATTTCCATTATCCTGTATAGCATACAAATGTCAAATGTTTCAGGAAATAATTGGCTTTTCCCATTTCCTGGAAGAAGGACAAACTGTTCTGTTTAAAGATGTTTCACTTTCTACCCATCATCTTCATTGAAAATTGGCTTGATGTCAGTTGAAGCAATGTTCTTATAACGTTCCTCCTCAGATGCACACACACTGGAATGGCTGAAACTGTTCCAGATTTCCTTTCAATGTTTTAACAAAACCGTATGCTTTGATGTATGGAGCACAGTTCTAACAAAAGATCTGTTGGTTCTTATCAATTCAGTGCACTTGGCATTCTCATGGGGAACTGCAGATCTCACGCCAGTGGATATAGTAATGAAACATCACACACGACCTTCTCGGATGGCAGCCCCTACCCAGTTCCTTTGAATGCTTTCCTTCACAATCATGCTATTTCATCCTTAGCTGAGTCAATTTGGTGCTTTTCACACTGAGGTGCATTGTCCATACCAATGTTCATCGGCTTCTCCCATTGTATGGCTTCTCGGGTATACAGACAAAGCTTCCCGACTGTATATCAATGGAAGGGAATTGTACAGTGCTTCAAAAATGCAAACCTTATTTGAAAAAGGGAAAACAAAAAACAAAAACCCGAAAGTAGTGTTTTTTTTCTCAAAGCAAAATAGTTTGGCTCGCTGCTTCCTTCCACCGTGACATCTGAATAAAAACATTTATCTACAGCTGGGGTTTCATTAGTCTTTGATTTATAGCAGGCATTTTTAAGCAATGCATGTATCTTATTTAATATTCACATCAAGCTTCCAGAAACATTGTGATCAGTTTTCTTTTCCCTTTTACACATCAAATTCTTATGTTCCATTCATTAAGCTCAAGTTTCCATTTTGGAGGTGGGAGGGGTAGAGGAACCATCTACGTACAAACATATACAAGAACTTTCCTGAACTGTATTGAAAAAAGGCCCTTTTCTAAACAAGTTTTGAAGTTTTCTTGTTTTGAGTGATGTAGCAAATTAAAAAAGAGGAATGAGACAATGACAGAGGGATTTGCAGCACTAAATTATTCACTGTGTGGTCTGGCACTCTCCATAGCAATGGATGGGAACACCTGCCACATTAACAAGAGCAGCAAGCTGATTATAAATGTTAGCTTTCCACCATTTGAGCCAACAAATGTCCTCAACTGGCTCATGTCCAAGACAAGGTCAAGGCATCCAGCCATTAAGCACCTTTTAACATGTTTAGAGGCTGAAATCTGAACACACACACGTGCACATGGGAAATCGGGAGGAATTTGGATGCCTCTGCTTTTCTGTCTTCATGATGATGGACTGAATAGAAGTAGAAGTACAGTGGCTTTTAATTAAATGAACCCCCCCCCACACACTCTGATAAAAGATTTGGGGGATTTGAGATAACCCTTTGGAAGCTGGTATTTCTTTTGCTCATACTTTTTCAGATAAAATACACTGTCATACTCAACGTTTTTATGGGCTTTCTTTACCGTTTATGCGTCAGCTGACAGTACAGAAAGGCTCCAGTCCAATAGCCATTAAATCCTCTCTGATTGCTTTTGTGGATATTGGAATGGGGTATTTAGCCAGAATAAATCATTTGCAGCACAGATGTAGCTGACCCTAAATCCAGTAGCCCCAGATTTCCTTCCATTTTCTCCTACTGGTAATCAAAGCAGCCAGTGAAGTGGGCTGGGAATGGGAAGCTCACCATGGCATCATGCTACCCATGTTGTCTTATTAGGCATTATCAGGAATGGAGGGAGAGAAGCAGGAGGAACAGAAGGAACAGAAAACACAAGCAGAGCTTGAAAAAGTTTTATTCTTTTGGACTTCAATTCCCAGAATCCCAGGGCCACTATGATCACTGGCCATACTAACTGTGGGATTCCAGGACCGACAGTCCCAAGGGGTAACTTTTCTCAACTCCAGATGTGAGGTTGCAGCTTCTGATGGCAACCATGCATTTGTTCTATGATCTGGTTCTGTTAACCTAAAAGCCACCATATGGGATACCTTTCCCACATGGAAAACATTTTGGGGGAAAAAGAGAGAGGGGGGAGAGAGAGAGAGAGTGGGTGAAAAGAGAGAGGGGGAGGAGAGAGAGAGAGAGAGAGAGAGAGAGACTTGCATCTAGATTGCAGTGTTGGATGATCTACATGTGCCATGCTTTCTAGAGATGGAGTGCTGCATTAGGTTGTTGTACTAAAACCATCAAAGAAACTTGCAGTGCTTTAAAGGCTAAAAAGTTTTATTTGGCATAAGATTATGTGGACTGCAACAACGGTCGGTTGATCTATATTTGTGTACTTTAACAGGGTTGTAGTATGCATGTCTTATAATGAAATATCATTGTTAATGATAATGATTAAAGCTTTACTGCTGCTGTAATTAAAACAGCTCCCAAATATTATACCATAATAAATTCTATTTCAAATATTCAAAAATTCCTGCTTTAATATTCCTGTGGCTGTGTGTGTAAAAATCTATCTAACACAATCTAGATGCCAATTTAGATATTGGTTCTCTCTATTCACATCTTTTTGGAGATCTATAAATTCCACATTTTTTCACCCTTTTTTTTGCTAGTTACATTATTACTGCCAATTTCAAAACATAAAATAAAAAGTAATTGAGATTGCATGATGACATTTTACCTCAATCCCACCTTTAAGCCAGGTAACCTGCTGCATTGGCTAAAATATAGTAGTAAGTCACAACTAGAGTAGGTCCATTGAATCAGCAGAACTTATGGAGGAGTTGATTAACTAAATCCCCATGGATTCAATGGGCCTATTCTAGCTGTGATTTATTACTGGAGTTCAGTCATTGTTTCATGTTCTCTTTCCTGCAATAGGAGGAGTGGAGGAAACCTTCCACTTATTTTTACCTTGGTTCTCTCTTGCTTCTCTCTCACCTGCAATGGGGACAGATCCAGCCCTGCCTTTAGACAGAGTAAGTTGTCTGTCTCTGGCAGCAGATCCTGGAAGCAATAGTGGTAATCTCCCAGCTGTGCTTCCTGGTCCTGCTAACCATTATCCCTTCTGGGGGATAGAGCTGTGCCAACAGCCTGTCCAGGGCCCTCTAAACAAATTCGGGAATGACTACAGACCAGAATAGTCACTTTGTCAGACTACAACTCTCAGAGTTCTTGAGCCACCATGACCTCCTTTCCCCAAATCCCCAGGTTGCAAGATGTTCCAAGCTGCAAAGCTCTACAAGGTATCAATTGGAACAGATTTTTTAAAAAGAAGTCCCAAACATTATTCTTTACCTTCTTAGGTTCTGATATGTTATTAACATAAATAGTGTAGACACCACTTTTGTTAAAACCAGCTTGGTATACATCAGCACAGTCTCTGAATGGCTTGTCTTCTTCTCTTTTGGGATTCTTTAGAACAACTGCAAAACAGAAAATGAATATGATATTGACATCTGCAATAACAACTGCAGTGAATATTCAATAGAGGCATTTTAGTTCAGTTACGAGGTTTGCCAGTTCTTTTGACTGGTCCTGCTACACTGCCTTGAACAATAACCAACCTAATGCAGAAATCAATAGCATAGTCTTGCAGAAATGTTCGTCCCTTTAAAAAAAAAATATGTGTATGTGTGTGTATGTGTGTATACAGATACAGTATATGTAATGAAGGGACTGATTGGTAGGGAGGGAATTTTTGGCTTTCATGGACTACACTTTCCCTCATTCTCAATTCTGGGAGTTCACCTGAGAGACAAGCACCTCATAGACACCTAAATATAGCTCACTTGGGGGAGAGGGGAATGGTCAACTTGAGGAAGGTCTCACGCTGCCCAAGCTTCCTGCTTCTGCCCCAGTGCTAGCTGGAAACTTCCCTTCGGAACAGGAAGTTTGGCCAGAATTAGGCCTAGCTCAGCCTTGAAGTCATCCAGCTGAGGTCTTTCTCTTAGATGAGCCACATTAAGGTGCCTCTCTTGAGAATTATGAGATTTGTAGTCCAACAATGCCAGAAATCCCTTTCCTACTTATTGCTGCACTGTGAGCATGAAATTAAAAGATGCTTCCACAGCACACCCACCCACCCAGACCTTTGCTCTTGAAAAAGGCTGTCTGTGCTAGAACATACAAAAACTTCATCTCTCTCTCTCTGTCTGAACTTGGTGTCATGATGAAAACACCTGCTTGCTCTAGTTCGAAGCTAAGCTGTGGTATATCGGCTGAGCACGAATATCTTGTCTACCTAATTTCCTATTGAAATGTAACCATGGGGGATACGTGAACTACACTGCACTTTTGAGCCTACTTACCTGGGAACAAGCCTATATACAAGCCTATATACAAGTTATCTCCCTGAAGTTTAGAATACAATGCCTGACTGCATCACAGCAGCCATTTTAGGAGTGCAATAGGAAGCTTTCACTTGTGCACATGAATGACAACATTGTGCTGCACGGGGACTGCTTTCCAAGACCACACCACAACCATTGAAATGTAACTGCAGAACAACTTACAGACAAGTTAGAGTACCCAAAAGTGTGTGTGTGTGTGTGTGTGGGGGGGAACTAGCTGCATACTTCGAAAAATATGCCCCTTTGCTGTTCTACCCTATAGAATGTATACTGAATAACCCCCTTGACCTACTTGTCAGCCAATGAGGATTTTTCTGTACTTTTATTTCCCTGTGTTTAGAAGGCATAAAAGCTCTTTATTCTTTTGGGTCAATATCTCTCATGTCTGGGGGACCCGAGTGGCCACTTGAAATAAACAATGCTTGTTCCCGGTCTTGAATCTGTGTATGGTCAAATCTCATGCTTGCTTGTACAAGAGTGTTCTAATACTCCCAAATTTCTTATATCTGGCTCACACAACCAACATGTTGTCTTGCTCTTACGCTAAAGCTGAGAAATCTTACAAAGTTAAGGAACCCTTGATAGGTTGTCTCAACATGGAAGACTAATTTAGCAAGAGTTCTTGATGTCCCCACTGTGAAATACATGACCGGATCACCGGGCCAAGCAGCCTTCCATTTTTAGAACACATTTTAAATGTGGGTCAGTTCTCTTGATTAGATATAGACAAGAGATCCCCTGCTTGCTTTGGACTTTGAAATGACTCAAATTATTTGAAAAAAAATCAGTTATCTCCCTGAAGTTTAGAATACAATGCCTGACTGCATCACAGCAGCCATTTTCGGAGTGCAATAGGAAGCTTGTGCACATGAATGACAACATTGTGCTGCATGGGGACTGCTTTCCAAGACCACAACCTCGAAGCTACTGGCCCATAGTGATCCCTTCACACAGAGGATTTATAAAACAAAATGGTCTGCTGTGGGAGTGGGTTTTCATTCATCACTACTATGATTGATTGATTGATTGATTGATTGATTGATTGATTGATTGATTGATTGACTGATTGACTGATTGACTGATTGACTGATTGATATTTCCCTGTGTTTAGAAGGCATAAAAGCTCTTTATTCTTTTGGGTCAATATCTCTCATGTCTGGGGGACCCGAGTGGCCACTTGAAATAAACAATGCTTGTTCCCGGTCTTGAATCTGTGTATGGTCAAATCTCATGCTTGCTTGTACAAGAGTGTTCTAATACTCCCAAATTTCTTATATCTGGCTCACACAACCAACATGTTGTCTTGCTCTTACGCTAAAGCTGAGAAATCTTACAAAGTTAAGGAACCCTTGATAGGTTGTCTCAACATGGAAGACTAATTTAGCAAGAGTTCTTGATGTCCCCACTGTGAAATACATGACCGGATCACCGGGCCAAGCAGCCTTCCATTTTTAGAACACATTTTAAATGTGGGTCAGTTCTCTTGATTAGATATAGACAAGAGATCCCCTGCTTGCTTTGGACTTTGAAATGACTCAAATTATTTGAAAAAAAATCAGTTATCTCCCTGAAGTTTAGAATACAATGCCTGACTGCATCACAGCAGCCATTTTCGGAGTGCAATAGGAAGCTTGTGCACATGAATGACAACATTGTGCTGCATGGGGACTGCTTTCCAAGACCACAACCTCGAAGCTACTGGCCCATAGTGATCCCTTCACACAGAGGATTTATAAAACAAAATGGTCTGCTGTGGGAGTGGGTTTTCATTCATCACTACTATGATTGATTGATTGATTGATTGATTGATTGATTGATTGATTGATTGATTGACTGATTGACTGATTGACTGATTGACTGATTGAGAAGGATACTCTCCTGGAGAAGTTCTCTAAGGCACAAAACTCCAAAGCATCCTAATGTCACCAGGAAAAACTTCGGTTTTATCTGACCCACATTTTAATCTAACTCATAGAAGTAGTGGGGGAAATCCTTCTAATGTTTACCTTCCCTGTGAGGAGCATTTGTGAGCCTTTGGACCTCAGTTCCAAGCTTCAGCTTGATGAACTTTAGTAGATGCTTACTCCTGATTGTTTCCTGGCAAATGTATTACACATTTTTTTTCCCATTCAGTACTAACATCCCTCCTGTTTTGGGATGTGCACAACTTTTGGAAAGCAGCTGAATTTCCTGGGAGCAACTAATCATGGTGTTGGACTTTTTGCATTATTACATGCTGCCTCTAGTAGTTGTGGTTGGAAAAGGGATTGGATAGATTCCTGGAAGAAAAGTCCATTGCAGGTTACAAGCCATGATGGGGGTGTATAATCTCCAGGCTTAAAAGGAAGGTACTGCCAAATGCCAGATGCATTGGAGGGGGTATCAGGTGACAGGTATCTCATTGCCTTGTGTGCTCCCAGAGGCATCTGGTGGGGCCACTGTGAGATACAGGAAGCTGGACTAGATGGGCCCTTGGACTGATCCAGCAGGGCTCTTCTTATGTTCTTACGTTCTTATGACTGTTTCTGGGCTAGAGTGGCTGCCAATCTTTTCAGTGCTAGCCAGTCATTCTTTCCCTGCCTCTGAATTCAAAGAGAGCCACAGCTTTCTGCTAAGAGTTCTTTTCCCTCTTCCTTCTCTGTTGGAGTCCGTCAGTCTCTTAGAAGCAGTTTGTGAGTCTAATGAGGCCTGTTACTTGAAGCAGTCATTTTAACTTGCTGTTATCTGTTCACTCTAAATAAAGGAACTGTTTATTTTTTTCTCCCACTAATGTCTCCGAGTAAGTTATTGAGACCGTAGGGGCCAGTTAATGAGAAGGAGAGGTGGACTACTCTAGGGAACTTGAAACTAATTCTGTTCTGTGAATTCCTGCACTTCTGTGCAGCTAGAAGAATTTAACGAGACATTCAAAACTCTGCAGCACACAGCAGGTGCCACATTCAAAGTCAGAAAAGTCACATTGACAGCCAATTGCTGGTAGGAGAGGAATGAGAAGAAGAAATAGGAGGAGGAGGAAATGGAGGTGATAGAGTAAAAGGAAGTCATGAGTTTAGAGGACATTGCCATTTTGAAGATATTACACTAAGCTTGACTAAGTCTTGATATCTTATTTCATCACTCAGCAGGTCATCATTAGAGGATAAGAATTCCATGTAGGCAAGGGTGTGGAATTCCTTCCAACAAAGTGAAGCGGCTTGTGAAAAAAATAACAGAATGAATTGTCGATCATTCTCAAACTCACCTGGCTTCCAAGGTAAATTTTTATTCACCTGATTTTTACTTATAAAGAGGGCCATCTCTTAAGAACAAAAACAAATTGATTAAAAAGAGATGAATGGTACTAATCCCTTTTTGGGCTCTAATAAGAAGGCTGCAATATTACATAAACATGGGGCATCATCAACATACAACAGTTGTGATAAAAGCTTTTTCCAAATTGAATCAAGCAAACTTGTTCATCACTGTCACTAGCCTTCCTTGGAGGCTAATCATTAGTGATTTATCCAGCAGAAAAGTGCACCTTAACCCTTTCCCTTAACCTGATATTTGCTCAATATAGTTGTGTAGCTACTTTTATTTTTGGGGAGAGCACAAGGCTGAAATACACATTTTCCACCTCTTTTTAATAGAATACCACATCTGACCCTTTCCATTTTAGACTTCGTTCCACAAAACTCCAGATGTTTTACAAGCTAGAAGAAATCCAGTAGAGTAACAAACATTTTCATTTGTCACAATTTTTAATGGCAAATTTTTGTTATAAATAGGATGAAACTGATAAGATTCATTCCTTCTCTTCTAAACCTTTCAACATATGCATGCAGATTCAATACTGACATCATACAGTATATTGTGCATATAAACAACTAGAGAGCTGATGGAATTATTTTAGCCTTGGTCAAATGCATTCCACCAACCATCGCTATCAACAGATATCACCATATTCTATCAAGCCAGAAAAGTTAAAGTTGCAGCCCATGACACATTTGCCACTGGTCCTTATGGTAACAGTTTTCTGTAGGTTTTTTACAACTTCTTTTCAGAGGGTCAGATTGCATGTTTCAGCAAATGTG